ATGTCCTAAGGAACCTTGCAATTTTTTCCTGGATCTCTTAAAATACTCATCCCTGGGATGCTCCCAAGAAACAAGAATGCATTTGTTAAATCAATGGGCATATATCATTTACCTGAAATCCTGTAAATCTGTTTTATCAATGATACTATGTCCAACATGACCTACAAGATCAAGGCTATTATTTGGTTGAGCTTGGGATTGTCTGTAGTCATTATTCAGGATCCATCTGATCTCTGCAAGTGATCTTTCAGTCTTTAGATATTTAAAGGGGACACTGATTTTGGCTACTCCTCTCAAAACGTGATATCGTTTTTGGTTTAATATCTTAGCCAAATGGCGCAGTTTCAAAGGCTTCCACTTGGCCTTCCCCAGTATGATAGCTCATTTCCTACTAACCAATGACATAATGAAGGGGCTTTTCTAACTTCTAGGTAGTTCAATCCTAATTATACACCTAATGGCTGGAGAATGACTATTGGGTATGTCTGCAGTACCAGTTAACACCATGTAAACTAGATTTTAACCATGACTCCATTTATTTCCTGATCTCTGTGTGGCCAGTCTAACAGCTGGGCTGTGATGATGCTTTGGTTCTTGGCATGATGATTCTTGGCCTGCTGCCAACTCAGACCATGTGTCTAATAGTCCTTGAAATATGTCAGTATTCCCCTTTTCTCAGTGTACAGTCATCTGCATGAGTGGAAGTAGTTCCCTTTGGAGAAAGACTAAGGGTATCTTTTCAGTAAATGCTTGTCATGGGTTGCAGGCCACCTCTTCCTGGGGGATATGACTATATTTCCAGACAATGGGGTCAATGAACTGAGCAGGAAATTGTAATGTTTTTTTGGGGAAGGTCACTCTCAGTCTCCTTCTTCTCCGCTTTTGCCTTCTGACTATAGATGTTAAGCAGTACCCTTGTTGACTGCTCTCTGATTTTGCCCCTAAAGACACCATTTTATATTACCCATCTCCACAAATCCCTGTGGTAAGGAGTCTTGACTGCCCCTCTGACCTCACTGTTAGTTATGGAAATTGTAAACTGCTGGTTTCTGGTTGTTCAGTCCTACCCTCTGTCATCTATCGCTTAAGATCCCCTTCTTCTCCATTACTTAACAATCCAGCTCTGTGATTCTCTCTCCAATCATCAGCCCAGTCTTCAGAGGAGAGTCACCACTGATCTTCTTAGTAATTCTGGTACTGCTCTGCCAGAGCATTTTTGATGACCTTAGTGAATGGTATATCTCTTCTGGGCTCTCTTGTGGAACATAATATTCTGGTGGATTTTATTTTCTCATACAATATGTCCACTCCAATATCCTCACTTTCCTAAATCTGACTTTTATCCCTCCCCTACCATCTTCCAGGGCAACTCAGGTATTTCAACATTGATACCCGTGGGCCACTGCCTTCTCTAGGCTTCTAAGAGCCACACTAATAACAAGTTTGCCCCATCCCTTGGGTCCTTGCCTAAGAATTCAGCATCTCCAAGTTAAGAGATTTTAACATAAAATCTAGTTTTATGCTCCAATCTGTTAACCAAGTGCCCTCAAAATCTAGTCTCATGCTGGTACATGCTAACTAATATATGTAACTCCTTTGGGTTTTATTCTTTCTTCCTTTAATGGCCCTAGGACATCCCCAGTTAGTTTATGCAGAGATTTAACTCTAGCAATTGGCCTGGAAGCCAAAAAAGGAATACACTGTTATCTACTGTAATATAGAAGACAGAAAGTGTATCTAATTGAACCCATATATCTTCCTGAGGAGATTACCAGGAAGAATTGTGCAAGTTCCAACCAATTTCTTTTAGATGGCTATTATAAAATATAGGAAGAATGAGATGAGGTATAAACCAAACCATTCAATTTTCAAGAAGAATTTAGAGAAAAATTAAAGACACGAGGATAGCTCAAACACAAAAATTAAACTGTATATAGGTCCTAGCTCCTCTAGATGGCAAAAGGTTGTCAAGGAAGTGGCTATAAGATCCTTTGTTGAGATCTCAGAAAAATAAAAAGGAAACCTAGGTTAGATTCTAAAAATCTTAAGGACAGGTCTCTTAGACCCTCTATGATAGATAAGAAGGCCCCCCAAAATCTTAAAGACATGGCTCGTAGACCCTTTCAACCAGACAAAAATGTTTCTAGGAATATTAAGAGTGTTATCCCAAAATACCCTGACTCTCAGCTCAAGCCAGAGAAAGACCTATGTGAAAGAGATTTCTGAATGTGGCATTTGTATAACTGAGTAGACCTCAATAAGACTCATAAGACTCTAAAATATTTTAAAAAGAATTTCATTGGCATCATAATTTTCAATTTCATCATCTTGGGTTGTAGGGGATAGAGCTAGAAAAATGTCCTCAGCTAGATTTTACAACTGCTATGTTACTGTTATGTGCCTCCCATTTTTCCCTTTTGGAATGAAATTTTTCTATTTTGGTAATCCTACATCTATCATACCATTATGTGTTGAGTTTGTGATGGGAAGATAACTTGACTCTTTAGTTCAAAGTTCTTCACATTAAAAGGAACTATACTTGAAGAAACATACCCAAGAAGCTTCATCTGCACCTTTGCTTGATTTAGATGAAATACCTGGACTTTGAACTGATGTTGTAATGGGATAGATTTTTGGATTACTGGGAGTGGCAGTAAGTGTACTTCATATGTGGGTACAATGAAAATTATTTGTAGTTAGAGGTGGGACTGTCGTGGATTAAAGATACCCACAAATCTTTGACACTTTCCCTTGAGGGGCAGTGTCTATTTCTATTCTTTATGAAACTCAGTTGGCCTGTGACTGCTTAGACCAATAGAGTATGGAAAAAGTAATATTAATGCTGGTTATGGGCTTTGTCTGTGAGACAACTGGAGCTTTGCCTTGGTCTGTTGGCCCCCGTGTAAAAAGTCTGCCCTGAGTCATCCCTGCTGAGGAAGCCTATGATAGCCACAAGGAGAAACTGGAGAAAGAGAGAAATACAGAGAAAGACACTTTGTCACCTCCCAGCTATTCCATGTCCCGCTATTTAAGTCATTCCAGCTGAGGCCTCAGATATTATTGAGCAGAGTCAACCCTTCCTTGCTATGCCCTCCCATTTTCTTCCACAGAATAATGCAATTTACTTAAATAAATGGTTTTAAGCCACTAAGTTTTGGAGTACTACTGTGTTATGCAGCAATAGACACCAGAACTCCATTTGTTCTTTTATAATTCACAACCTCTAAGCAGATTGGATTATGTAACCAATCATCATTGAAAGAGATGCTAGTCTGAGACAGTACAAGGTGAATGATGCCTTCTCCACAAATACATTCTCTCATTTACAGAACTGGAATTGATGGATCAAAGAAGATTAAGCTGGAAGATAGAAGAAGCACAAAAGACAGGTCCAAACCAAACTGTTTGGGTTTGCAAAAGTGAATGCAGAGGCTTTGAATATTCAATCCAACAGTTCAAAACAACTTTCACAGTCTTGTCTAGCAGTATCCCTAAATAGTTATAAAGCCAGCCCAATGGCCTAGTGGTTAAAGTTTGGTGTGCTCCACACTGGCAGCCTGGGTTCAGTTCCTGGGCGCAAAACTTGACCACTCATCTGTCAGTAGCCATGCTGTGGCAGCAGCTCACATAGAAGAACTAGAAGGACTTACAACTAGAAGATACAACTATGTACTGGGGCTTCTGGGAGGAAAAATAAAAAGGAAGATTGGCAACAGTTGTTAGTTCAGGGCGAATCTTTCCCAGGAAATAAATAAATAAATAGTTGTAAATACTGGCATCCTATCATCATTTACGAGGCAGCAGCCACTCCTAGGTACTTAGAAACTGAGGAATGTAGTACCCTTTACCTATTAGCTCCAGAAACATTTCAGCAATTATGACTTCATTGCTTTCACTAAGTATGAGTCTGGTGCCAAGTAAGGAAAAAACCTCCAAATTTTGATTATTATTCACGTTTCTCCCATATTACATCATATTACATTATATTACAGTAAACTGATATATGGATAGAATAGGAAAACGAAATGAAAAAGAAAAAATAATTTTGAAAGTCAATGACCAGAAGCTGAGAGAAAATAACACACTAATGAGATAAAAGATATTGTTTAGTTTTTTGCAACCTGTGTCCACTTTTAACAACATTTCACAGTAATCCTTAACAGTTTGGTCAGTTGACTTTTAAAACATCTCTGGAAACAGAGGCTCCAGAATTCTTTAGATGAACCATTGGTTATTTTATTTCTGTTAATTGGTGATTACACTGTCATTTGATTCTTTTTTTTTTTTTTTTTTTTTGCTGAGGAAGATTCACCCTGAGCTAACATCCATACCAATCTTCCTCTGTTTTGTATGTTGGTCGCCACCACAGCATGGCCACCAAGCAGTATGGGTCCAAGACCCAGAAACCGAACCTGGGCCACGAAAGCTAGCAGGGCATGCCAAGCTTAACCACTAGGCCACTGGGGCCAGCCCCTGTCATTTACTTTATTGTTTGCCTCCAAGCTTGGAGAACAAGAAATCATGACATACTTCTTAAAAATTCCCCTTAAATTATATGTGAGTTAACATTTACTTTTCTAATTGAGCAACCATGGCCCTAAATTAAAATCCTCAAAATATAAAAGCATCATAATTTTATTTCTCACATTAAAATGTGTTAACTTAGAGGGATCATACAGATAAGCAGGCCTAAATACTGTCCATCTATCAAATACATGGGTAATACAGGCATATTTCTATACCTAATTTCAGATGGAAGCATATTAGAATAAGTAACAAATCAATTATGTCAACTGATATCTCAAAAACAAATTCAGAATTAGAGTTTCACAGCTAGTGTCCCATTTGTTCAAGTTCCCTTTATATTACCTATGAATGTATTGTTTAATACAACTAGACTGAACTTTCCCATTTATTTTTCATTTATCCAGTTCCCTCTGTCGTACATATTGTAAACAATTTGAGAAGTAGTATAATTTCACACCTCAACTTTCTCATTGCCTGCTTATTTATGCCTCGGAAGAGTTCTCTAGATTTCTCCAAGTCAGACCCTCCTTCTGATCACCCTACTCAAGGCCCGCTTCACGTCCTTGTTCCTCAAAGTATAGATCAGTGGGTTTATTAGAGGAGTGACAACACTGTACATGATGGCAATGACCCAGTCCTGGTCCATGGAGCTGCCTGAAGCAGGATGAACATAGGTAAAGACAACAGGAGCAAAGAAAAGAATAACTACCATGAAGTGGGAGGCACAAGTGGACAGCGCTTTGTGAAGCATGCTGCAAGAATGGGTTTTGCAGAAGAGATGAGTGATGATGTAGAAATAGGAGAGAAGTGTTAGAAAGAATGAGCCCATAGCAATCATTCCTGTGACAGTATTGAGCAGCCACTGGTTAAGCTCAATGTTCCCACAGGCCAACGCCAGCAATGGCTTAACATCACAGAAGAAGTGATGGATATGGTGGGAACCACAGAAGTTCAAGCGAGAGGTCATTATGGAGTGCAGCAGGGCATGGAAAAAACCAGTGGTCCAGATAGTGATAGCCATCTGGGTACAGAGCTGATGATTCATGATAACAGCATAATGAAGTGGTTTGCAGATAGCCACAAAGCGGTCAAAGGCCATCACAGCCAACAACATGGATTCTGTGCTGCCCAGGAAATGGAAGAAATGAAGTTGACTTATGCATCCCAAAAAAGAAATTGCTTTGTGTGTAGAGAGGAAGTTCTCTAGCATCTTTGGCAGTGTTACCGTGGAGTAGCAGATATCTAGACACGATAGATTGCCCAGGAAGAAATACATAGGTGAATGGAGTCTTGGATCGGAGGTGACAATCATCAGGATGGCTCCATTCCCAGCCACATTGGCAAAATAAATTGCAAGGAAAACAACAAAGAGAAAAGGCCACAGTTCTTGGATATCTGTCACTCCCAGAAGGAGAAATTCAGTGACTAAGGTTTGATTCAGCATCACCTAAAAGAAAAGACAAAATAATATGTGGAACACTATTATTAGTGAGAATTAGTTCTTCTAGCCCAAGATTTTTTTCCAAGACAAAAATGTTTTAAGGCATAGTATTGCTATTTTATAAGATCCCAACCTCAGAGGTGGTACAGTATTTGGGCCATTAGACTGTTAAATATTGACTACCTGTCACTTACAGACTGTGAATCAACCATTTTTTTCTTTATTAGATTTATCATTAATATTTTTCTTTCTTCACGTAATTCAGGGCATGTTGCAGCCTATTTTCTCTTGCTGTGAACTTCTGCGTTCTGATACAGCTTTCCTTTTATTTTCTTAAGTTAGCCCTAATAGGGGGCAACTTTTTAAGTACTCCATCACACTGCTATCTCTAAACCTGCTAAGAAGCCACCTGAAAGATTTTAACTTAAGAAAAATAGACAGAGAGAAATTCATTACAACCCTAGTCCTTAAAATTAGTAGTGATAGCTTTTCCTCATCTTAGAACGTAAATGGAGCTAGTGGTGTTTTACTGATCTCTTCCTGACATACATCCCTGGAAACAGCATAGAGCCTTGCTGGAGAAGTAATAAGACTATGTTAATCAGATATTAGCCTGAAGTATATTTGAACTTTTATCACTGCTATATGTGATAATGAGCTTAATTTCTTCCTATAATCTGAGCCTTTTGCTTTCCCAAAATAGGATTCCCAAATTACTACTTTGATGACAAATGTTATTGTGCTTCTATTCTCTAGTTGCCCTGGAACTCTTTGTCATTTTCCAGATTACCAAATCCCTGGATAAGAAAAGTTCATCCTCAGGTGGGCTCACCAGTTCCTTATTTCATCTTATATTGACCTCTCCTTGAAGTATGTATGGCTTCAACCTCCTTAAAATCTAATCTTTTCTTATGATCTATTTACCTATGTTCTGTTTTTATTTTGCCTGAAATAAATTCGTTCTTCAAATATTAAAGAATATTCTACCTCAAGTGGAATTCATCTTCTTTACTCCTAGTTCCATCCATGTGTCACTGGCAGTCGTGTTGTCTTTTATGACCCCAGAAATCTGTCTGCTTCATATCAGCTCTCTCCAGAGTTGTCACAAATTTCCATCTCTTCTCACTTGAAAAATGTCTTTTCTCTTTTGTCCTTTCTTTCTAGCAAATAAAATTCTTGTTTTCTACTAAAGGAATGCATTAATTTTCATTTGATTTGCAGAATTGAAACAATAATGCTTTCTTTAGTGAATGTTGAGACTCTTGAGGAATTGTATCTAAGTTAATTATAATGAAGGTTAATATTTGATCAAATTTGCACTATTTACAGGAAGGCAGGAAAACTTTTGAATCTCTTTTCCCCATTATTTGCAAAGTACCTGTCATTATCTCCTTCAGGTACACTGACAAAAGCAGACATAATTCCATGAAATAGCTTCCTTTTTGTTTCTTTCATTTATAGATGTAGTGGATTAGCTCTTGAATATTGGGAGGGAAGAGGCAAGGATGTGTGGCAAACTTTTATAGAAGTGAAAGGCACTGAGAGAGAAATAAGAACTATAAGCAAATTTGAATAGAATGCAGATATTAGGGAACTTGCTATGAAAGGAGAATTATTCAATTTTGAGAAATCACAGAGGGCAGAAGAAATGATTTGATGTAACTAAAGTAATAAATTGTGTGAACACTTCAAGGGAACCCATGGGATTCTAGGCTTTATACTTGGAAGAAATTTTAAGAAAATTATCTAACCTCTACTACACCTTCATAAAGGGCTGTTTCAAACAATTCAGAGTAGTTTTCTCTGATAGTGTAGGAGAGGAAGACAAATCATCTACCATCAAAGTCCTTCTGGCTGGGCTATGAATTAAATTGACATGAGACCGAATAACAAGAGAAAAATCAAACAAAGCTTTATAACATGTATACATGGGAAAAACCCAGGAAAACTGAGCAACTCACCAAAATGGCTGAACTACCAGTTTAAATATCATCTTCAGCTAAAGACAAAGGAGGATGTTGGGCGTTGGGAGAGTCAGTTATAGGAGATTACCAGAAAAGCACAGTAAACAAGAGTAAGGTTGTTATGTAGATTTAAATCCTTGCCTTCCACGTTGATAAGAGTTTCTAGAGATAAGGTCATCCTTCTCTTCCTGGCACAGAGAGGGAGACACCCTTACAAATGGAAATTTCCCTTATAAATGTAAATGTCTCTTACAAAAGGGTAACTTCTCCTGGTTTTCAGAACTCCTTCTGTGTCTGCTCTTTCTTAAAAATAATAAGACTAAAATAATCCTTATGCCAAAGAGGTATAATTTGGAGTCACCAATTCTGATCTCTCACAGTAGTCATGTATATGTTAGATATTTAAATAATTTTATCACTCCAGTTTAAAGTAAAAATGATATGCCAAATATAATTTTTGGTTCTCTAACCCACAAAACAGCATTGCATCAAAAATTCATTTGGGGAAAAACGTTTTTTATAACTTTTAGAGAAAATTAGTAATCAGACTCCTCTGTACTAAATGATTTCTTTCATTGCAATATCAATATTTAGACATTAAAGAATTGCTTTGAAGAATGTCTAGAGAAGCAAGCATGTTAAATGAGGAATGTGGTATGACAGTAAAAATGTGGGAAGTACAGTGCATTCATAATCCACAAACACAGTGAGGAGTCCATCATAAGATAGGAAACCAGCTTTAAATCCTGGGTATTTAATTTTAATGCTAGCAAGCATATAGATCACTCATTAACAGACAGAAAATATGGGCAGCTTCCCAGCCTATCTCCTATTTTATTCTCTTACCTGATTAAGTGTTCAGATTTGCAGGTAAGAAAGCTTTTTAGGTTGACACTCCTAGTGATTATAAACAGTAGAAAAATATTTGAAAGGATAGCTCATGTTGGGATTGCAGTATAACCTCTTCATTTTCAAAAGTCTTTTCCTCCCTTCCTGAAATTTTGACTGACTTTTTATGAGCCATGTATTGCTAGACAAAAAAATCCTGAGGGAAAGTGTCTCCCGGGTACTGAGAAGAATTGTTGGAAGAAGAAACAATACTTTTCCACACCTGCTACATGATTGAGTAGGCTTGGGGAATTCCTATCTTGAGCTCCGTTTGTTTTTTTCATTCTTTCTATTTTCTTCCCTTACTGTTTTTGTCCCTCAGTTTCAGAACCATAGACAGCAACAAGGTCTCAACTGCCTAGTTTGTTTTCTTATTCAAATGTCCTTTTATTTCCTAGGAAAAGGTATGAATTCACTTTCTCATCTTAAGAATTTCCTTGGAAAATACTCTTTAGTTTATACGGTGGAAAAAAATTGGTAATAAGAATTAATGAATGAAGTCACATCTCATTGATAAGTATCCCATTGATCAATGCATAAACTTTAATATTCTATTTGCTTATTATTATTTTTCTATGGAAACCAAATAAAGAGGAATAAAGAAAAGTAGTATTTATTTTTGTTCTTTCTAAGTCTGATGCTTCATTTTTGGTAATAGCAGTGAATTATTTTCTTTAATTTTGGGGTCCAAAAGTTTGTATTTCTCTTTATCGAGAGAATGATGTTGCTGGTGTCTATGATGTGTATCTTTGCTTTTTACTATATCCTTTAGGTAAGAAAATCAGGTATTATTTATCCAACGGGTATTTCTGTGTGATCTGCCAGCTATCCAAGCTTTCTGATAACAGTTGTCAATGTACTGTCCTTTTCCATCTTTCTATTGATTTTCCATTTTTATTGCTTTGCAGGAGTTCATTATATATTCATTACATTAATAATTCCTTGTTATTTAATACCTTGTAAATATTATACAGACAAAAATAAGATTTGTTGTGCACTCATTATGTGGAAGTTATTGTTCTGAGTTCTTTACATGTATTAGAACATTTAATTCTTACAAAAACCCAATGAAGGAGGTACTAAAATCATTCCCATTTTACCAAAAGAAAATCAAGTTTCTGAGAATTTAAGCAAATTTCCCAGGTTATAGTGGTAAACTGTTCAAGTAAGATTCAAATAGAGGTTTTCTAGTTTTAGAGAAAACTGTAATGTGGTTTCCACTCTTTAAAAATGTCATCCATCCCAGTTTTATTTACAGTTTCCTTAGGTCACTGCAATTCCATTATTTTGATGAAATCATGACTAGAAATTTTCCTCCTTCTTTTTGGACTTTCTGGAATTTTGTTTATGAAATCATTTTCTTCCTTAAGCCATAATGATATTGCCTTAAATTTTCTTTTATTTCAGGGCCAGCTTTATGGACATATGACCTTGTGCTCAGAAGGGCCCCGTGTTTGGCTTAATGATTTGTTGTTGCCATCTTGATATGCTTAACAATTTTTGAACAAGAGACTCCGCATTTTTATTATGCACTGGACACCACAAATTATTTAACTGTTCTTGTTTATTACATTTAGTTTTATATTTTATATTTAGAATTTTAGTCTTTTAGAATTCATGTTAACATGTTATGAGATAACCAGCAAGAATTGACTCTACTTGCTCTCTGTGTAGACAGAAAAACTAGGTATTTTTTCACAGACGTGTGATGCCATCTCAATAATATTCTAAGACTCCCAAAATGTATAGTCTCTTCCTCCACTTTTAACGTTTTCATTGAACAAGCTGTATTTTTTTTGTTTGTGTGTGGAAGACTAGCCCTGAGCTAACATCCAATGCCAATCTTCCTCTTCTTCTTTTTTTTTTTTTATTTGCTGAGGAAGATTGGCCCTGGGCTAACACTCATGCCCATCTTTCTCTACTTTATATGGGACACTGCCACAGCATGGCTTGACAGGCAGTGTGTCAGTGCACACCTGGGATCCGAACCTACATACCCCATGCCACTGTAGCAGAGTGCACGCACTTAACCGCTACGCCACCAGGCCAGCCCAGAACAAGCTGTATTTTAATTAATATTACTTTATTATAGGTCTTAATATTTGTTGATTGGGTCCAGTCCTTGCTCTTCTTTTGTAAAAATGCCTTGATGAGTTTTTGCAGCTCATTTCAAAAGCAATTTC